ATCATGCCCACGGGAAGTAAGAGTGCTGACATTGCTGCAACACTTCCGTACCTCGGTGGATGAGGCTATATTTGTAAGATAGTGTTGTTGTGTTCTACTTCTCTATCACCTGCAATATATATGTTTAGTTTTTTGGAAAATAACTTACAATGCCCATCAGTAGGCTATCCATAAGTCTTAATTTATTTAGCAATTTCCTTTTAAACCTCCAAACTTAACAATGTATGTGCAGTATGGATGCACAAAACACATGGTAAAAGTATCTTTGTGGAACCACTAGGGACATAGTGTCATATCTTTGTTTTTCACTATCTTACAAAGGGTAAACTAGACAGCATTGTTGTGGCAATTCAACAAAATAGTTAATTGTCAAACGATTTATGATATTTCTCCTGCCAGTTAAATGCCAAAACCACATGAGTGTGTCTGTCTTTGGACGTTTTTTGTGTGTGAACAAGATTTTTCCCAAGCAGATGTTTTCCTGTCACTTGTTAAAAGGTAAAACACACACTTTGACATTGCTTTTTGTGGCCAGGATTGCAGTATGCTTGAAAGTTGCAGTGAACAGAGAGCAGTACTTCCCTGTGTGATTTAGCCTTTTACATTTCACAGCCAATACTCCACCCTATTGTTGGAACATCGATGAATTTGCTTGTATAAAATAGTTTGTTTCAGGGAGGCTGTGTGTGTGTGTGTGTGTGTGTGTGTGTGTGTGTGTGTGTGTGTGTGTGTGTGTGTGTGTGTGTGCTATTGTTCAGGTGATATAATGGAGGGTAGAGGACAGCGACAGAAATAGAAAGGTATGTCGAAGAACACCTTTATTTGTACTGCAGAGTGGATCTGGTTGCCTTGAGAAGATACAACATACTTGAGGGCAATTACTGATCAAATGATCTTGCTGCTGAAAAGGACACATGAAAAGCGAAATGAATAGAGAGAGACAAGGAGACTCCTGCTGACCGTAGTACTAATAAATTAAAAATAGCGAATGTGCTGGCGACCGGATGAGTTAATGACTCAGATAGAATTACAACCATTACATATCTCTCAGTTAATAAATGTGCAGGGAATGATGGAAGTATATTCACACGTGTATGCGCACACTCAGCATCCAAAAACCGATAAGTGCCAACTCCATCTTTGGCATCTTCATGTGTGCTGACTTAGTTGAGTGTCTGGAGCGCTAATACATTATGCATCAGCCCTTAACATGCCCTTGACCAGGGTGACATACATTTCACATACATTACAGATGTAATCCATTCTAATGAGCTTAAACTTTATCTGGATGGGCCCGAAACACACAGGGGAGTTACGGCACTCAAGGGAAGATAAAGATCATAAAGCTTTTGTAGGAATAGTTTTAATGTCAGCACAAATAGGGCCAACATTGTACAACCTGGATGTATGCAGACTGCAGTGGAGCCTGGTGATTATTTACCTGGAAGGGTACGTGCACTGAGGACTTCACACACACGCTAATTATGATATTGCCTGGATTGTTGTACTATGCTTTGACTACAGCAATGGGAGTGTGTAACGTTCACTCAACACACTGTCACAATTACTAATGTAACATATACATGAAGAGCAGCCCTTGTGTGGGCCCTTAACTGGCAACTCAGCCAATCGCGTCTTCATCATGAATTCCAATGTTTGAATTTGTTTCTGTGTGCCGACATCTGCTCCATTAACTCGTGTTGATTTGGTGTATTAAGTGTAAATTCAATAATTACCTGACACCTTCCTGATTAAGGCCGCACATTATTACTAACATGTGTGAAGTGTATGTTTGTGTTACATCATGTTAAAAGAGGGTTAATAAATTAGGTTCTTCAAAAAAAATCCCTGTCATTCAACCATTTAAAACTGCATTTCTATAACACAATTAGAGTAATCATTGAGATATACTGTGAATAAACAATCTAATAACGTATACCATACTGTACCATTTCAATTGAAGTAATATACAAATACTTAAAAAGAAGATTGTAAAAGGTACATAGAGATATGCTTGTGGCTGGTGGTAATAACTAAACACATTCATATCCAACTATTAATGATTTGACTACTTTGCAAACAGCAGTCCCATCAGGCTCATCCAAGGACTTTTTCCGATATCTCAGACATTTATGAAGGTTACCCTTAATTAAGAAGAGCTGGCTTCTTTTCTCCTCATTCTGGGGATTGGCACAATGCAATTATCACAACAAAAAAGGTATCCAATGCCAGTATTTCCTTCATATCTCAACATAATGAACATGGCTTGAGCATAGCTTTGAAAAACACTTCATATCAGTGAATAGAATTTCAAGTGATTCAATGCCATGCATGTTTTAATGGACTCACCTGTGTCCTGATCACAAATCTGCTCGCACGGCTCGGTAGTCCTCTGGCCGCAGTAGTCCAGCACCCACTGTGTGGACGAATTGGTCTGATAGTAGAGAGTTAGCTTGGCTGGGTTTAGCCAATTAGAAACATCCAGGAAGCTGCCCATGCTTACCACAAAACTACTTCCTGAAAAAAAAAACACAACACGGAATTATTTAGCTTGTAAAAAACAATAAAACGGTTAAAACAGACTCAATTGTTTGGCATTTTGAAAGGCTCTTTACATGGTTATATTGCAAAATCAATTGGAGAGTGTTTTGTCTTTTGTTTTCACTGTAATTTCAATCCCCCTCCTGACTGGGCTGAATTTAAATGAGAAAATTAAGACCTATAACGTATGTATTTATGGGATTTCCTTGGTAATTGCAGTAGAGGGGGTAAAAGAGTTCCACGAGTCAATCAGTAAATGCTATGCTCATTGACGCTGCCTTACCTTTCTTTCTTACTGCTCCCCGACCAATCGTTAAACTCTGATCACTGAACAAGATTATCCCTAATTGATGCCAAAGACTTTTAGTTGCAAAGAGAGCAGAGGAGATTGTGCTTCAGCCCTTTACTGAACACAGAGATTCAGCTATATTATGCGAGCAGTGATTGGTTGAAGTAAACATTTCTGTGTCAAAGTAGAAATGTACTTAAAATAACAGAAAAGGACATAAAGATGGGATCCACAAATGTAATCTGAGTTATGAGGGGAACTCCTTTGAGGGTGGTCTCCAGGCTTTATTTTAAAGAGAGGATTAGTGCGGATGGAAAAGCTTAGACAATAGCCGGTAATCAAATCTGAGTCACAGGAAAAGTCCAATGCCCTGCAGTGTTATGCAGAGGAGAGATATCAAACAACCCATGCAGAAAAAGCAAGGAAATCCCAAGGCTCATTTATGTATTTTTCTTAACATTTGAGTTGTTCCAAATTCCTGATCGAATAAATAACCATTTGCCTCCTCCTACACAATTGAAATCACCGGCTGCTTCTTTTTGTTTGACAGTCAACAGTCGCACAGGGACAGTCTGACCCAAAGAGCCTTCCAAAAATACAGCGATATTTGAACGTTTTATTTTCCGACAACCTGGCAAACACGACTAGAGACACTCATCTAGACCACAAACAACCCTGTAGTGTTGCTTTTAAGTACATATTGCATTGTTTTAGACGTTATTTAACTGCACATCCAGAGTGGATTAAAGTAAGTGCAAAAGTGTCTGTCCGATTATTAAGTAATAAAAGATTGATCAATGAAGATGTTTCAATAAATGAGCTTTCTTTGTTCCTGATATGAAATACAACTTAGAAAAGACTTTTTTTTTAGATGTTTTGCTGTAAATACAGTTTTCTTGTTTCCACACTCACAGAAGTCATGATCTAAAATTGATCGGGAAATATTGTAAACATTGAACAATCACAGACCAAAACTCCCTTATAAACAATGGATTGTGTTGCTATTCTTTAAGTTTCCACTATCCACCATAGTGCCAACAAGGTCAAAATACATACAACTCTTCTTAAATGGCATTCCTAAAAGCATCCTCCAGGACAGGCTGACCAAAGGTGAGCATAATCAGGCCTTTTCCTGCAATACAGCAGTTAGGGAACAGAATTGCCAGGAGCTCTCATTTGCTGAGGAGAGGAGAAATGTAACGGTCTCAGCTCTCGCAGTGAGGAGGCAATTGTTAGATCATGGGTTGGTTTATCTGGGAGGAAACCCCTCCTGAGCAGTTTGTTCGCTGATTGCCGACAATTTCACTGTGCATATTGTGAATGGAGTGAAGAAGACTGGGGGAAAATTATTTGGTTAGATGAAACCCCTTGTTTTAATTGATTTGGGAACACATTTGAAGTAGAAAACATCTCACACCTGTTTTATGGCAACGGAGATAATTAAAGAAACGGCACATCTGGCAGTTGGTTATCTATCCAACAAGTTGAAAACATTTACCACCAAAATAAGTCTTTTACGCTGACTGTCATAATTATTTTCTTATTTTGTTGTTGCTGGATTATTGTTTTTTATATTTGCGTTGCATGGCATGGCGTTTGAGTAACAGGATAGACACATAACTACATGACGAAGATTATTACTCTGATACTATTACTAATGTGTTGTGAGGGACTTTACATGAAATCAAACTGGCCCTGGCATTACAGTATATCTATTTTGTGTGTATATCCCTGTTATCTGAGAACACACATTTTGAGCAGCATTTTCATCAATAACATTGGACACATGATACAGCTGCTGTTGTACAGTCCTGCCATTCTGGATTCACTCATCAACCTAAGTTCCGGTGAATAAAATACCTTATATTATTATTTTGCTTCATGCTGTTTTTAAGTTTCGCTGACAAACCACTAGAACACGCACAATCAAAATTACACTGCATCAATGATGAGAAGAGAAGTTTCTTTACAGGAAAGTACAACAAAAAAAACCTTGTTCTGCATACAGGAAGGTTTGCTGGCACATTTTAGCAACAATATACGCACTCTTCCTCGGCCTGCCGTAACTCATGATTTATCGTACCATAGCATTTTAGTTTCTATGCCTGGCCATTGCTGTCCTGACCTAACTCATATTGATATGTGGCTTACGAGTTTGGATTGCCTTGTTTGTTTGTTTGTCGGATTTGTGTGTTTGCTGTGTGTGCCTGACTGCTGCCAAGTGTATGCCTGGCAGACTAATGGGTTAAGCCGCCTTTTATCACATCTGCTCTGTGTCAGGTTTCTGGTTTTCTGAGTCCAATTCCAGTATACACAAGTTTGCAGAGGAACAACTAAAGTAAAACACCCCTGCTTACAAAGAGGAAATGCTATATTGAAACACACAACAAATACAGTAGATGGCGTTCTGTGTCTTAGCTTTAGTGTTTCTAAAATGTAAAGTGTATCCTGAAGGTGGCACTGAAATAAAGGCCATAGAGTAATTCAAATTTAAATAATGAAATTCCTGGTGATCGTGAATATCATTAAACTCCTACCTTTCATTTTTTACATCTTACGTCAATGGTTAAGAACTGAGCATCTAGTCAGAGGTCACCTCAAAAGAGCATCTGAATGTTCGAGAAAAGTTTTCTCCATGTCTCAAAATCCTCCCCAGTTAGATACGGTAAAGCAAAGGCGAGGAGGTCAGAAAACAAGCAATCAATAATAATTATACAGGAATCAAAAATATCCATAATACTTCTCACAACAAACTGACTGACGGTTGAATACATAGCTTGCAATGGACAGCCCATCAATAGACCGTTTTTTTGACACTGAGGCTAATACTTGAGCAAAATTGATGCCTGTTAAATAGCCAAAATTGTTGCCAGGTTTCACAGAGGGTGTTTCAGTCTGCAGAGCTTTATGTCATGCTGTCAGAATTCAGCAGATAAAAGGATAACAAGTGGTCAAGGGGTCTTGAAGTGACGGAGATATTAGAGAGTATAGCCTGCAGTAGGTGATGTCACACTGTCAGGTGTTATGACAGAAGATGACCCTGACATATACCTGATAAAATACCCAGAGGGAGCTGAGTACAGAGTGAGGGAACATCACTGAAATGTACATTTGCCATTAAGAATCATGAAACCTCAAATAAATCTCAACTATGGTGACGTCCCTGTGAACAGATTCCATTTTGACTTAAGCTTGTCTTCATTTAGTCCATTTAAATGTTTTTATTACAGCTCAGAATCATTTCAGATTAAGACATTATAACTGTATTTAAAGAATGTCTGTACCGGAGTCACGAAACAGGTCGGGATAACCCATTCATTTCTAACCTATGAACATATTTTATTAGAAAATGTGAGTGCCAGAAATTCTCTTGAATAACTTTGTTTCTAAGAGAGGGACTTGCAAACATTTTATTATGATTTGAAAGAATCCAGTAATGCTCTGCATGGAATAGAAATGTGGGAGTTAATCATAACACCAACACTTAACAATATAACTCTGGAAATAAATCCACACCACTAAACATTAAGACTTTTGCAGTATATTGGCACGTATTATATTTACAGCTGTTAATTGCACATGTTATAAAAGAGTTCTGCGGAAGTTGAAGTAGTGTGTACTGTTGTGCTTTTCTTGTGTGTGTGTCATACAAATTGCGTGGGCGGACTAAAAATGAGGCCCTGGCGGCAAGAGCACCTGATCGACTGATACGTGAATGCTCTCAGAGATATGGCAATCATTAGTCAAATTGCCTCAGCTCCTCATCCCCTCTTACTTCACTTAACCCCTTGCAGGTTTTCCATATTGGCTTCTCTTACCTCCCAGCAAGGTTTATACTGTGGTATCTTGCCAATACACGGAACCAATTTACAATCATCCCAAGGCCGAAGAAGAATTTCAAACACTCAGTAAGACACTCTCTAGGCAGTTGCCTGGACACCGATATACTTGATTATCCTGAATTTATATTTATTTGACAAATCATCTCCTGTCTCCATCCAATGTATGTGGTCACATCTTTTTTTAAATCTCTTCACTGAACGCTCTCTGTGCATAAACAAAGAAAGATGCAATCATTCGTTTGCGCGCACTGCTCTTCATCAGTCTGATAGCTCAAAAAGTCATCCAGTTGTTTGTGGTGACAATAAATCATTGTTTTTCCATTGGGGGCTTTCAGTGTGTGGGCGTTATTGTCCTGATTGTTGATCATTCTTTTGGTTCCAGCACATGATTAACTTTTTGTTGGATGGATGTCTTTTGTAGTTTATCAGTCGTGCAGAAGGGGCAGTGACATTGAAAAGCATCGAGATTGAAAACCACAAATCATGGCTGAGAGGGTTGAGATTTTACTGCAAGCCATTTGTAAATAGAAACAGGGGAAGCATGCAAAGCTTTCCCTGGTGCATTACATGTTTCTTCTAACAACAAAACAACACAAAATATCATTCACCACTCAATAACAGTGTGTGATAGACAAATGCTTATTGCAGTATGCAGAGGTGGGAAGTAACTAAGTAGATTTAGATAGATTTACTTGAGTTACTTACTTTAATTGAGTATTTCCATGTTATGCTACTTTGTACTTCTACCCCACTATAATGCAGAGGTAAATGGTGTACTTTTACATTTATTTTGTAGCTTTAGTTACTTTGCAGATCTGGATGATAATGTAAAAAATATAATCAACACTTAAATCAGACTTTAGTCCCAATTCACAATCTACCCTGCAGTATACACAGTAATTAAAACTAGCTGCAGCTTTACCAGATTTGATAACACTTTAATGCATTAGTGATTATAATAAAAACATATATATTATTCTGAAATGTTGGGTACTTTAAGTATATTTTGATGAAAATACTTTTGTACTTTTACTTGAGTCACATTTTGAATGCAGGATGTGTACTTGTAACAGAGTATTCCTACACTCTGGTACTTCTAATTGTATTCAAGGACAAGATGAAAGTACTTCTTCCACCTCTGCTAAGCTGCTTGAAGGAAGACTGTATCTGAGAAAATACAAAAATAGTTGTTGACGGATCATGACATTACAATAACATGCCATACAAATATGTATCCTTTTCTAGCATTTAACACACAATTCAACATTGCCTTGGGCTCTAAAAAGTACAAAAGTAATTCCACAGTCTTCCTCACCAAGTTTCATTCTGATTCATGTTTGTAGTTTCAACTATTTGTTTCCCTTCCTTTCTTTTTCTGTAGTTTGTTGTATCTTATTAATGTTTTTAAAATAAGTGTGCCCCAAAAAAGTATAGCAATAATAGTGCAGTAGAAAAACAAGAAGGCTAATGGCCTTCAACTTTAGTTTCCATTAGTTGAATATTCCGCCACGGTTTAACGTTTTGAACTTACCATCTGCAACAAAATGCTCAGGCACATGGAGGGTAACCTTGACAGTCAGGGGGCAGGACTCCTGCGTGGCGTAGACAATGGCAATGACACATGTGCTGATGGTTATCAACGTCAGGGTGACCTTATTTAGAGGACTGTGCGGGAGGCCTGGAGGCAGAGAAAGAGAAAAAAGGTAAACAGTTTTTACAGAAGCCCTGTTGTTTTTGATCAGGGTCTCAAACAGATTACTGTGTCTGAACATCCTACATAGAAAATACTTTTTCACACAGCAGATAAAACAAACCTAAAGCTAAACCCCCTACTAAAGCACTGCTCTTTGTTGAAAACAGCCGCTGAATCACCCTCAATCATTGTAAATGCAGTTAATTGTACACCTGATACATTAATCTAATGCTGGTTCAGGTTTGCCCTGAGTAAATAAAGGATAACTTTACCCGAGCTGCTGCATAACAGCCCAGAATCATTTGCAGGCGTGATATATGATCTTATTGCCACTGACAGGGTTATAGATTGGTTGTTTTGGTTGCCCTTTGGCTCTGTCAGGACTCCCATTTCCAAGCTAGATACAGGGAATTAAATTAGCCGTTTAACCTCTGTCTATGGATATTTATCATGGGAGGACTCGACATGTTGAAAAGAGGCTCTGGATGTGATAGCACCGGTTTGGAACACTGTTCTTACTAGATATGAACTGGGTACAAATATCACACAAAGCTGCCGCCTTCAGAAAATGTGTGAACAGCTTCTGCCTGTTGTTTATCTTGCACTACGCAGGTTTGTTTTACAAGTCAGTATTATTATAGGCCTAGACTTGTTTCTCTTTAATAAGCCAAAAACTCCACTATTTGAAAATTATTAGTGTAAGTGTAATTCAAAAATATTGCTTATTTGCATATTAGAGTTTTGATCAGTGGAGGAACACACACATCCAGATGTTTAACATTTTCCAACCACATATATTTGACCAAAATATACAATTGATCAAACTGATTGAATTGCAAACATTTAATTATTTTCTTTTTTTTTATGACTTGCAAAAGAAGAGTTCTGCAAGTTAAATTCAAAGTTTGGAAGAAACAAAATGCAGCTCAAGGTCAAAATCAGGGAGAGAATGCTAGGATAATTTACCCTCCCGATCTCAATCACGTCTTGTACAATCACGATGTTTTGAAAGGACAGGAACAACAGCTGTCCCCAACAAAAGCGCTGCTAATCCCTTTGGGCTGTGGGGGTGTTACTGGGCTTATGAAGGGTCCCTCAATTACTATAAAAGCCTACTGAGTAGACAAAAGGATGTATGCTCACGATGGCAAACACTTACTTTATAGCAATTCACTCATACACTCACAGAAACACACATACAACAATACACTAGTGAATGTAAAGTAAAATGCATATACAACACAGGGCCACTCTGAAGATAAATGTTTAACGTACACTTTATTCCTTCCATTTATTTCCCCCTTCCCATCTTCCAGAGAAAGCACAGCCTTTTTACACAGGCGATAACTTTAACACAGTTCACGGTCATAGGTTTAATCTCTTTCCCATTCATGAGCTTTGTTCTAATACAAATAAATATAGAGTCTATTTATTTATTGCTCTTTTAAGCTTTATCTGTGATTAATTGCATTTCCAAAATTCCACAGCCGATACATAATTCCTTGGTACTCTGTTTGCAAGTCATTCTGAACTTAATTCATTCAAATTAGGAACATTTCAACCTTGGAAATCTAGTTATAACTGTGGTTACTGGATGCCCTGAAGCATTTTTTTCCAGGAGAGAACTACGAATGTAGATTTCAGTGTTGAATGTTAATCATTGGCAGAACATAACCAGCCTTTTAAAGTACAACAGCAACATGTTATCGAGGCTTTATAACTAAGCAAACACAATTACACAGAAAAACCCTTTATTTCATTTATTTATTTATTCTACCTCGGCACATCTCTTAATAACTATACAACGCAAATGAATTTCACTTTGCCAAGAAGTTATCACTTGTTTTATCTTTGGGGTTGCCACAACACATATTGAAAATAATGTTTTTTGAATAGTCTAGACTAATTTTGACATAAAACTGTAATTTCAAAACACGGGAATCAAGGATATTGTCTTGCTTTCAAATTCCTCCTCTGCAGTTGCATTTAACAAATAGAAGTCAAGTCAAGTCAAACAAAGACGCAAACTAATACACTGTATCTCTCCTTTACAACAGTAACACAAAAGGAACAGACAGATGCAATCATTATTAATAACAATCAGATAAATATATGAGGCATGACTTTTCCTCCTCATCTGATACAGTGCTATAATGAACTGCAGACAGAGGATTAACATAAACACTTGGATTTAATTATTTCCAATCACTATTCTGAAACCCAACTTGGAGACTAATTGTATACTATATACTGTAGCGAAGAAAAAAAATCATGCATCTCATCAAAGTAATGTGACTCAGCTTTAGTCATTACTGAGCCTTCATTAACATCAGCTCATATGCAGTGTCTGCTTTGAGTGTCATTGAGCTGCGCCATGAAACCGCACTTCAAACCCCACAGGGGACGTGCATGACTCCTTCCTACTTCCAGCTACGCTGACGATACCAGAAGTGTCTGGCCTCATTTCACTCAACTATAGCCTCATATTTAACCAGAGTACGGGTGGAATATATTTGTTTTCTAAATGTTTTATCGTATTGTATTACTTCTTGGCTTTGTTGCCTTCTCAGCAGTATGCAGTGGGTAAGATGGTACCCCAATGTGGAAGATAATGTGTTCAAAAAGTAACACATTTATTACAATACAGAAAAAGGTACATCTGTACTCCGGCTCACCTTTGCTGCGCCTTCGTCCTCTGTGCTGTTCTGTGTAAAACTTCATCTGGCTGTCGTCTTCGGGCTCAGAGCCTGATTCCCCTTGAGGACCAAACACACCTCCAGGCGCTGGCAGTGAGATATGAGGAGGAGAATGGGAAAAATGGAGAAAGAGTCAATCAATACCATATTTTTTACAGGTCTGAATGTTACATTGTTAACTAGTATGGAAAACAATATAACACATAAAAGCAGCATAAGAAAGAAACACAAGTTAGTTAGTATGTGAGAACAAGACTGTATAAAAGTAACAACACAGGTTAGTCATGAGAGTGATGGACTTCAGATTACATTAAAAGTCAAAGTATTTAAAATGCTAACCATTCAGAGCACCTAATCCAGTTAATGGATGCACAATGTTGTCATTAGTTCATTTTTGCGTTTTCAAATGAACATGGATTAGTTAAACAACAGTATACATTCCAGATGGCAATAACAGTGACACATTGGTCTAATTCAGTATGGGCAAGTATAAAAATATTTCTCCTGTGAACCAAAAAGCAGTGACACAATACCAGTATGCTGTTGAGTTATTATCCTTTTTTTAAATGTTCTCCTTTCAAATAGCTTTGCCCTTTTTCCTTGACTGACAGATGACTGACAATAAATAAGGGTTAGAAACCAGAGTTGGGGTTATTGTAATGCTGTAGTTGGAGGATGGGAAAGAAGTAATTGTCGTTATTATAGGGGACTCATTTGTAAGGTCCATATGTGGTTCTGAAACAGAAACACAACAACAACAACACAATGCATTTGTCCTCTGTAATGTGGCAGCCATTTACCTCCTCATGTGCTTTTCAACATCTATAGAGATGTTAAGAAGGCCACTGCTCTCCACACTATGCTGTTCCCGCACGGCTGATCTGTTGGCCAGTGTGGGTAATTTGTCCATTGTTACCAAGTCTTTGGAGATCAATTTGTTTATCAAATTGGGTCACATCCCCAGAGTGTGTGCGTGTCTGTTTTTTAAGTCAGAGAGTTAGAGTGAGGCTATGAGAGTTAAGAGGCTTTATTTGTACGGCGCTGCCACTTCCACATCAAAACACACATCCATGCTAAATGCAAAGGGGCTGCCTCAAAGTGATAATTGCTTGGGATGTGCAAGGTGTAAAGCCACTGATGGATAAATAGGTAATCTAAAATAACCTAAAGTGTTTGCGGATGGCTTTGAACGGCATTCTAAGCCTGATATTAGGGGTGCACCAGAGAGTTTCTGTTAAATATGTTTGTTATTGTATTTGTTTTATTCAGCCAAAAGTCACACCCTAAATGGCTATGCTAATAGCATCCATTCATTTCCTCATGGTTGTACATATGTTTTGCTTGTATAATCCCCAGGATCACAGTGATTACACTTCCTAATCTTGCAGAGTGGAAAGGGGATAATGGGCAGAGAGAAAATCAATGTTTTTTCTCTTGACTATAAAGGAGCCTTGGAAGAGAAATATTCCTTCTGTTGACAGCAAATTAAAAGCAAGCATGGAAACATAGAATGGGTGTGGTGTCAAACCCTTATCCATATCATGTTACGTTAGTTGATAATGGCTCATAAATATGTACTCTTTACTACTGTAAGAGGAAGAGACCCTATCCCTACAGGGATTAGTCATACTCAGACCTCTAAGTGCTGTCAGTTGGTAATGGTGGCTTTCATGATACGTGATCTTAAAAAGGTAGCCATTATAGAGGTTGGATATTACATAGAGTTGCATATTAATTTATTTGACCAAAGTCAGACCATTGCCTGTTCTTATCAATCATCTGCTAAAGGTTTGAATGTGTAACAAGTAAATATATATTAGTAAAAATTATATACTCCTACTTACTTATTCCAGGTGTCTGAAGGAAAAATGACAAGACACTTATTTTTTGTAGCTATATCCAAGCCTACAGTTTAAAAATAGCAAGGCTTACATAAGGGACATTCAGCTTTCTCTTATTCAAGTTTTTAAAAAGTCAAACCTCCCTCATTAAAAGCACTTTATTGCCAACAAAAGAGCAACATATTCTCTCTTCATTGTTCACTGAACAATTTGCACGGTCATAATTCCTGTGCAACTCTGGCGCAATGCAGGTAACATTTCCTTCTCTCCTCACTTTATAAACATTAAGTCTTAGCTCGTGAAAATATGCCTGCACCATAAAGATTTGAGACATGATTAAAAGTTCTATTAACCCGGTGTAAAATGTGGGTATGGAAATCTGTAGTCATTCTTTTGGTCTGGTGCACTTAAGCAGGTCGAGAGGCGAGTTGGAGTTTGAGTGCGAGAGTCTGGCAGTGTTTGGAGAGCGGAGCCAAGGCAATGTGGTGTAAAATTGGTTCTGAATTTATGCATCGTGTTATAACATGCACAGAGAGGTGTAAAATGAGACTGAGAGAGAAACAGACAAGACAAACTAATATGTTTTTCAAAAGGAACACAGTTGTGGACTCAAGAATCAGCATCAAACATAATCAAAAACATTTATTTGTTTTAATCTCATGGACAAATGGCTTCATTTATTCAATCAAAGCAACACTTTATTTTGTCCATGATATATTCTAATTCTGTCATTTCATTGTATTTATTGCAACTATACTGACCTTTTTTTCGCAATGAATTTATTTTCAGCAGATCATCTCCTATCTCACCAATAAAGGCATCATTTCCAAAAAGTTTTTTTTCTGGAAAATGTAAGGTGTTTATTCCTCACAGGCTCACACATCAGAACGTGATGTTTGTGTTTGCAGTCCTTGAGATAGGAATTGGAGAGGTGCTTCTTGCCTGAACTTTAAATCCCATGTGGCTTGCCTTTGAAATAATCACTCGCAAAAATCATCAATGTGATTCATGCAGTCTTCACTTCTGACTTGAACCCTGAAGAACTTTGAGAGGGAGAATAAGTGCTTTTTGATTTGAGAAAAAAAAAGGAAATGCCTCACAGTGAAAAGGTAATAATATTGCCAATCAAGACCTGGCTGATCTTGCAAAAGCTCAAACAAATAAATAGCATCAAATGTTGACGTATGCTTAAAGTCTTGGTCATAATATATGCTGAGTTGATATGAGTAATTGTGATAAATGTAATCTGAGAACAGAGGTGCGGAATACAGAACGTGTGGCATCATATTATTAAAAGCTCAAACAATTGTGCGCCAGAGTGCTTTCAAATCAAAAATCAAAACAGCAGGGCTATAAAAAATAAAATGATCCAAATTATAAATACTGGATAGAGAGGAAAAAAGTATCATAAATGAAAGAAGAGAGCGAGAGCTGTTTTTTTTTGCAAGTTTGAGAGTTACCATGTTTACAGTCTTTTTAGTAAAGTCTTGGTCACCCTCAGGAGAAAATAATAACCCAAAGTTGAAAATGGGCCGCACTTAATCATCCATGGCTGAACTTAAGTGTGACTGACATATCAGCGACATAACCAGGAGCATTTAGGGCCGTGGGAGTTATCAATGAAAAATATCCTTCTGTACCCAAGGAATAAAGGCAAGGATATATAATAATAATAATAATAATAATAATAATACATTTTATTCCAAAGCGCTTTTCCAGGTGCTCAAAGACGCTTTACAGTGGTTTGATATTAAAACAGCAACACAGCATAATTCACAAATTAAAAGCTAGTCATAAGAGGTGTGTTTTGGTCAGTGTTTTGAAAGTGGGGAGGTCGGTGCAGTCTCCGATGTGTTGTGGAAGGGAGTTCCAGAGGGTGAGGGTAGCGATGGAGAAGTCTCTGTCCCCCCAGGTTCGGAGCTTGGTTCGTGTGGGGATAGAGAGGAGGTTCGCTTCTGATGAACGAAGGCTGCGGGAGGGAGTGTAGTGGTGGATCAGGTCGGTGAGGTAGCGGGGGGAGGCCTGGTTATTGAGAACTTTGTGTGTTAGCAGAAGGATTTTGAAGTGTATTCATTGATGGACAGGGAGCCAGTGTAGGTTTTGAAGGATGGGGGTGATGTGGTCTCTGGAGCGGGTGTGGGTGAGGAGGCGGGCAGCGCAGTTCTGGATGTATTGTAGTTTATTTAGAATGTTGGATGATGAACCATACAGGATGCTGTTGCAGTAGTCCAGTCTTGAGGTGATAAATGCGTGGATGAGGGTTTCAGCAGCCGGGAAGGAGAGTGAGGGGCGGAAGCGGGCAATGAAGAATATTGAATATCCTAAAATTGAAGTAGGATCACGTTTTGTGGCTTTGATTAAGTGAATGTGGGGAGGACATTTTCTGTGTGGCAAAAAAACACAAAACAACTTAGCTTTGGCTATTTATTTTAAACTAATAACCCTAAAGAGCCCCTATATGAAAATAGAAATGGAAAATATGCCCTCACTTTGCAATAAAACTCTGTAAATATTAAGCACAAAAAGGTTGCCACCATGCAGGTCAAGGACCAATTCATTGCTCGCCCATATTGGCACACAGACAATCAGAGCATAAATTAGCCTTCCATTATGTTTGCACTTTTTAACCTGCAACATATTGGAATCTTTTTTAGCTAAAGGATGAAATACAAGTGCATATTGTTGCAAGTAAGATATACAAGCATATTTAGTAAGGCTGCAATTTCAAAGCATAACAAATAATCCCAATCCAAAAAAAGGTATGTGCAGTATAAATAAATACATTGATTTCTGAGGTAAATAAAAAACTGATTAAATGATGGAAAAGATTGAGCAAATACTTGACTTGGGCAACACAATGTCAAATATGTATCAGAGAGAGCTATTGCCACAGTGTATTAGCAGCCCAGTGAACATCCAAATCAATTTGAGGTTTAATACTTACAGTCGCAACTGTGTACCCTCTTTGTTATAAAATGATCACATATTGCTGCCTGTCTATGTCTGTGAAGCTTTTGTTCTTTTGTGTTTGAACACATTTGGTGCTGCTGCCTTGAACATCTTCTGTGATGTGTTCACCTTTTCTCTGCTGTCATGTAGATTTGAACAAAAGGCGGGTCAGTTAGAGAATCAACGCCTTCTTTAAATAGCAAAATTTCAGAGACACTAATAATTAAAGCTGAAGAATACAAATAGGTATTATACGCATGACTATTCAAGTACAAAATGGATAAAGCAGAATTTATC